TATGAAACTTGGCTCTGAAAAGATTATGGTAAATAGGATTCACTGGCATTTTAAAAAGTGGTGCTGATATTAGGATCAGCAGAGGTGATACACTGAAAAAGTAAATAAATATTTGGATATTCTATCAATCCAGGGCTCTTAAGAGAAAGAAACTCACAAGTAGTCCCTCCATTAATAAATAAATGAAAACTATACCAATAGATGAGTAATCATAGAAATGGTATGAAAAACAAGCGAACAAATCAACCCCAAACCAATGATGCTTCAACAATCAACTGCATGGACACTACCATGGAGGATATGTAGAAAAATAATTTAGGAATTTCATAGTTAAAATGTTCTATTACCTAAAAAGATGTAAAAAGCAAAATTGGAGGTAAAATACAGGAAGTGAAAGATCACTTCAGTAAAGATAGAGAAATTCTAAAAATGATATTCAAGAAATCTGGGATATTATTAAAACACCAAACTTAAGATTCATTGAGATAGATAAAGGATAAAGGGATTCATGATCTTTTCAATGAATAATATTGGAAAAATTTTCAAACCTTAAGAATGAAATAGAAATTCAAATAAAAGATACAAAAGTACTCAAATTATACAAAAATTACAAGGCATCCCTACCTAGAAACATTATTAAAAAATGCACAACCTATAGAATAAGGATAAAATTGTAAAAACTTCAAGGGAAAAAGGATTGGTCACATTTAAAACTAAACCAAGGAGCAAAGATGGCGCAGTAGAGGAGATACCACTTCTGATGGCTCTGCGCACAAATCAGTTCTCTGTACACCACCAGAAATGGTATGGTTTTTATGAAAATAATGACTATATTTTAAATAATGATTGAATCCAACATCTCTAGACATAGAGACTAACTATAAATGTATTAATAATGAAAACCTGTTAATAGATGATGGATTGTTGATATTGGGAACTGTTAACATTGTCTTTACCCACAAAGGAGAAATTTTGGAACTATACAAGTGCAATATAAATCTATAAGGGAAAAACAATAACACAACAGATTCACAGAGCTAGAAAGAAACATGAGCAACATGAAAAGACAAGGAAAGAAAGGACCACAAACAATGCAAGACAATACAACATTAGAAGAGGTAACATCTACAGCAGAAAGAAAGTCAGATAAAGATTTCAGGATATTCATGGTTCAGATGTTCTGGAGTCTCAGGAAAGACATTAGACAACAAATGCAGATAATGAAAGATCACTTCAACAATGAATTACATAAACATATCCAGGAGGCAAAAGATCACATCTACAGGAAGATAGAGGTTATAAAAAAATTCTAGAAATGAAAGAAATGATAAATCAAATTAAAATTAAAAACTCAAATGAGAGTATCAACAGCAGAGTTAGAAGAAAGAACATAGAAGAAAGAACATCAGACAGTGAAGACAAAGTATATCATCTCAAAAAGAACGTATACAGCACAGCGAGACTGATAAGAAGCAATAAGCAGAACATTCAAGAAATATGGGATAGAATAAAGAGACCAAATTTAACAGTTATTGGGATAGAGGAAGGTATTAAGGTCCAAACCAAA